GGTCTTTTCCAACCTTAATGATGCTATGATTGATTCTATGAAACTTTCAGCTGGACCAGTCAGCTTAGAGGGGCCTCAGGTCCAGGTATCAGGTTGGTGGAGGGTCCGTGCTGGTACACCCTGGAGGACCTGCAAATGTGCAAGGGTGCATGAGGGACGAGTGTGTGTGCATGTCCAGCACAAGCACCGGGCTGGACCAGCTGGTGAGTAGGGGAGCTGCAGGGAAGACAGAGAGGCTGTGCCAGTACTTGGAGGATCTGCAAATGTGCATGTGCCTGTGAACCCGGCGCGTGGCTGCGTGTGTGTGCCTGGGCCAGGGAGCGCCGGCCTCTGCCGGCCCGGGAGGAGCTCACCCTGTACCTGGGTGCTGCTGAAGGCAACGCCTTGTCTGTGGCAGTCTGTGTGCCCGGCCTTGCCAGGGTCCTCGTTGTGTGCCTCTGTGTATGTCTCAGGTACGTGCTCAGCTTCTCCACTGGTGCTACTGCCCTCAGCCTGGGCAGAGGCCCTTGGTCCCTGGGAGCTGGGCTGTGCTCCCATGGCTGGGCAGGAGTGTCCTGGCCCAGACCGGCTGGAGGAGGCCGCCTTGCTCTTAACATAACTTAACACTTGTTACATTCTCATTTTGAAGAGCACTTAGTGAATATATATCATATGAAGCCTTTTCTTCCTCTGTGTATTTGGATATAGTGAAGATATGGGGCAGCAGAGTGTGCTGAGATGCCTACTTTATGTTTATTTGTGGTGCAGAACATTTTTGGCCTCCACTGCTCCTTCCAGGTTTTTGTCTAAAGCCTGATACTGGATCAGAGGAGTCTGGTGTCCTGAGGAATGTAACAGTAGCTGCTCAGCTGCAGCTACTCAGCCAGCCAAAAATACTCAATAGGTAGACCTTTTCTTCTTGTGTCTTGCCGTCAGCAGTCTTGAGGGCAGGTACTCTAAATGGCGATACTTAATTCATGTCTATAGTTAATGGTTAGCAATTTTTTTACAAAGATTAGCTTTTGCCTCAGAATCCAGTGCAGCCATTGGGAAAAGGTGTCTTAAGTTCTGAGAAATAAAGCTTTCAAAAATAAATTGTAACGTACTAAATTGCTTCTACATCTTATTTACTGTGCTGTTGTTACTTAATTACTTTTTATTTCAGCTTTAATAAATATTCCAAATGTGACTGAGATAAAGGATGACATGAACCTTGGCTTGACTCTGATACAGAACTCAAAAACAGGAGGATTTTTGGTACGTATCAAGGATGTGTTCAGTACACACAAATTCCTGAGGAGAATGAAGAAACTATAATTCTCCACATTTTTTGATTAGTCCAAGCTGAATGTATTTTATTATGCAGCATAGATTAATACATATTTTGCATATTTTAAAATATTCCATTCCACTGTCATAACCTATGGTCCAAAATCAGGAAAATTAAGAATTCTCTCCATCATTTATCTAAATATCCTATGGAAGGGCATGTAATTAAAGATTCTGTAATTTAAATCAGGCAAGAATATTTCCACCATGGTCATCTTTAAGGCAGTCTTGTAGCAGAGTTCCGATTATGGTTTCAAAAGACAGTATAGGATCTCTCCTCCACCATACAGACTTGAATAGTGACTGTTCTCCTGAGATGTTAGGATTTCTAGTCCTGTACATCTGCAACATGTTTTATTTGGTTAGTGAGCTGAAGGAAGATGCATTTTCTATGTGCATATCCTGCAAACCACTCTCCTTGGAGCCTGTAAACCAGATTTCATAATTGAAAGGAAGCTAATGCCTGTTTAATATGCTTTTTTACAGTCTTAACCGTAAGCATGAAAACTGTTGCAGTGTAGGTGTATTCCAGTTTGATGCATGCATTGTAAGCATGTGCAGTAATCAAGTGAAACAATGAGCTTTGAGGCTTACTTTAAGCTTTTTATTTTCTCTTGCATTGTCTAGTAATCACAAAAGTATTCAAATGTTTATTATCTTCATTACCATGTAGCCCAGTTCACTGAAGTACTTAAAAGTAGGTCTCATTCCAATCTTTCCAGCAACTCTCTTGGAGTTAAAGTTAATTATAACTTCAAAATACAGCAACAGTATTCTTGTTTGTTTGAGAAGATACTGATTAAAAAAAACCTTATTCTGTCTCTTGGATAATGCCTTTAATTACCGTTAATACTGTCCCATGCATACCTACTTTTAATCAGTATCAGTAAGTGCAGTGGTTTAAAACATCTCATGCAGAAAAATTTGTATTTTCTAACAATACTTGAACTTCTGCCAGTTAAAAAGAATTTCCTCATCCATACGTTACTGATTGGGTCTCCTTAAATTGCATAAAATAACAAAAAAAAAAACCCCAAAACTGAATGCTAAGACATGAAGTTAGCCACATCTTTGGTTAAAGGAGTTTTTTTTGACATAAGGAGAATGGGGTACTGGAGACAGGTGCTTATCTGTGACTCAGCCTCAACAAATATCAAAAGGCCCATGAATTACTTGTGGCAAGAATTGGACAACAAGCAGAGACGGTCTGCTCATAATTGCAAGCTATTGCCAGCCAGGACTTTGCTCGGAGATTCTGTTTCTGGCAGCTGGCCTCTGTGATGGGTGGTTTGGGTCACGCTCAGGGCTTCCTCCTCCCAGCTCACTGTGCTCCTTCCTCCTGTGGCTGCTTCTCTCTCAGCCTCCATCTGCTTGCGCCAGTCCACTGCATCCCTGGGCTGCTTGGCTGGAGCGTGACCCAGCCTGGCGTGTCTGTGCCATAGCTCCTGCGTTCTGCTGGTTCAACTCTTTGATGCCGTGCGATTGCTTCCCACAGGTATCCGAAGTACAGGGCAGTCATTTCGACATGCTCATTACATTTTTCTGAGGCATGCTTAGTCCTGTTGGAAAGGTCGTTAAGAATTTCACTGGTGGCTAACACATTTTTTCCGGATTTCTGATTTAAGTTTCTATCAGTTTGTTCTTGGGGCAGCTCTGTGCCTTTAGTCCCTACATGTATTTAACACCCTGCAATCATTCTCCTTTGTCCTTCGCTTTGCTAAACAAACAGGTTTTTGCCTGAAATGCATTTTTTAAAGCACACCTCTTTTGAACATGAATGGCCAGATCTATGCTGTATTCCACATGAGCCTCTCCAAGGCACTACGTAGTGTATTTGGTACTTTCCTGTCTCAACCTCCAGTGCTTCTTGTCACCTCTCTTTAGGCCATATTTGCTTTGCATGCTGGCTGAAAGCTTATGGTCACCCTGCAATTGGCCCATGCCCAATCTGTCTGCTCCTCTCCCACTCAGTGAGCTCACAGTTTATGTCCGCATTTGTTAACATTAGTCTTTATGGGCAAGTCCATGCCCCTTTCTAATATTCCACTTCTCAAGTTCATCAGTTCTTGATATGTGATCTCCTAGTTTTCCCCTGCATTAATGATGCATCTTAAATTTCTGACTCTTAACAGCTTTTCCTGTTTTTTTTAAAGTGAAGATCAGCAAAGTTTATTAGAACACTTCTATTTTTTGGTCCAAGATTAAAAGCATGATTTTGAGTTACCACTAATACAGAAGAAAACTAGAAAATGGGCAAATGAGATTGATCTAAAAAGAACTTTAAATTAAAAATATAAAGACTAGTAACTCTCCTCCAGCTTTATAGTTACCAATATAGATGACTTATTTTGTACTTCTCACCTCTGTAAATATCCATCTTTTCCAGTAAAACTCTCTTCAAGTCCTGAATAGAGATCATGCATTTTCTGTTTTCCAAGCTCTCCTGACTGGATAGGGCAGTAAGAAAACACATGTAATGAAGTTATCCTTTCTTTCAGAACTGTTGGATGGAGGTTATATAGAGGTTATAGTTTTTTTACTTGAGTTTCTAACATGATTTTTCTTTTAAAAAGAAAATCCATCTTCTGCAAATATTCTCATGACAAAATACTGTCTTGGTATCTTTTTTATCTAGGTACTTTTGTAAAAATCCTTTTAATATCATCAGAGGTGTGGCTGTCATGCAACCAGCTGGTTGATCCAGCTGAAAACGTTTCTTTTTACAGAGATCATTTTCAGCAAAGCAGCGAGATTATCTTCCCCGGAAGGCAATGAAACACGTAGCGAAGGGATATGTGAGGCCAGGGCCAAATTTCTCCTTTCAGCTGCAGCCAAGTAGGACAGTGCATACTGTGAGGCTGCACCCTTGCAGGAGGTGATGAAGAAGTTTAACGTGTAAATATTTCGGCAAAGTGAATTTCCCTTGGGAAAGGGTTTCCCAAATTAATAAACCTGTCCGTGTGCGCACTGGTCACAAAACTGTTCAGTCTGGTCACACTGTTGGTGGTGATCGGACGTTCTGCAAGAAAAGCGCCTCTCTGCCCGTTGCAGCCGTGTGCATGCTCATGGCTCGGATGCCACCTCCTGGTTAGTGGAAGTACTTCTCTGCACGCGTATAAGCCATGTGCAAATACCAACCCTAGTTTTAAACCCATGGTTTGTAGAGCAGGTGGCTTGAAGTGGGACAGATTCCTTGCAGACCAAGTCACACTCCCTAGATGTTATAGCCTGTGTAGTCTGGAGGGTCCAGGTTGCAGAAATAGGGACTAGGATGATCATGAATAGGAAATGCTTTTAAATGAGAAAGTCAAGGAAAGGGGTTACACTGTCACTGTGATTGCAAGGAATTTAGCCTGATAACCCAAGAGAGCATCTCTGATCCTTTATGCCTGTAGTCCTCCTTACTGTGGTTTTGTATACGGATATAGTGAGACAAGTGTTTGTTACTTTTATAGTTTCTTTTTGTTGTTATTTTTAAAGACTTGTGGTCCCTTGTGGGCACAGCAGTGTGGAAGCCAATACTACGCAACAGGAGTCTGTTCTGAAATCAGTCCAAGTTTCCAGATCCTAAGAAGCTTTTCTCCTGCTGTTCAAAGTAAGGCAACATGTGCAAAACAGATTCAATTAAAAAAACATATCAAACAAAATCAAGATATGTTGTGTCGGGGACTCTTAATTTGGGATTTTTTTTTTAAATGTATGTGCAAATAGCAAAGTCCTGTGGTTCACGTGTAAGGACTGACAAGTCGTGACCCAGTGCTGATATGAATATGGACTCAGTCCTCAGAGTTCAGAGGCATTGCACCAGCACAGGCTCAAAATCTGCATTTGCTTCTGTTGAGTCCTCATTCTGCCAAAACCTTCCCGTGTGAGACCTAAATATGCACCTCTGGATTTAGCCAAAGAGTTGGGAGTATATTGAGACTGAAAATACATTTAATCTCCACTTTTTCTTTTTGTTTTAGAGTGTTCCTCTGTCATAGATGTTGTGGTGGTTTGCGATGAGTCAAACAGCATTTATCCCTGGGATGCAGTGCGGGCATTTTTGAAAAAATTTGTACAGGGCTTAGACATTGGCCTTAACAAAACCCAGGTAAGTCAAAGACATCTTTGAGAAAGACCAAAAAAGAGAAAAAAAAAAAAAAAGGCAATGGCTTTTATTAGCAATTTTAAAGGAAACCAAGTGTGCTTTAGTGTAACTACAGTACCTCCCCCAAAGCCACAGATTACGCAGTTGTCTTGTATGTATGTTTTGGTATTGGGGGGGGAGTTTCTCATAGCTAACCTGTTTCCAAAGGGATTAGGAATTTGATTCAAAACATAAACCCAACTGAAATAGAAGTCTGAGTTATATCTAGTGGAGCAAGATCTCTTTCATGCATTAGGTGTAAAAGGAATTAAAATGTAGTCTGTGGGGATCTGGTAAAAGTAGAACAGATTTTTTATGGGCTTTTCATGTGGCTCTTACTTTCCAACTGCTGCATCTGTAAAATGGGAGTTTTTCCTGCTTGGTTACTGTCTGATCTTTGAGTTCTTTGTTCCTTTTAATTTGGTGATGGTAAGGAAAATTTTATTGCCTTTTTTTTAAACATTTTCTGTCTTTACAGTTGTCCATTTTCCATAAACAGTTCTGGGGACAAAGTCTGGGGTGCTGGAAATCTCTCTCCCAAAGGCTGCCTTCTTCCTTGGGCGACTTTGGAAGTGAGGTGCTTAAAAGCTAGGCTTCCTGCTCAGTGCTTTCAGAACCTCACCTTTAGTGTCTTCTCCTCTGTTTCTCTTTCATGCTAAATGTACATCTTAGCATATGTCTTTAGCTTCACCTGTATTAAAAATAAATAGGGCTTACAGTCCTGTCAGGTAACTAACCTCTAAGATATCCTTAGAAGAGATCAGATTGAAGTGCTGTCAGCTTGTAGAATTTTCGCTATTTTCTCATTTTTTCCCAGAGCTCCCTGTATTATTGATATCCATCAGCTGTTCCAGAAGTAACCAAGCAAACATGTAATGCCAACTACTTCAGATTGTTTGCATTAACATATTGTAGTCCATAATAAATGACATAAGATGCAAAAGCATTTTAGCTTTCTTAGCTTTCTGAATGTGTTAATATTAATTGGTTTTATATATGTTGAAAGAAAGTTATAACCCCATGTACATCTGCAGATCTTTTGCTCCAACCTGACAAATAAGTAAACATCATGATTCTATGTAACTGATTGTAATGCATGATAATTTAACATAATTTCTTTATTGCATAGGTGGGTTTAATTCAGTATGCTAATGATCCCCGTGTAGTGTTCAACTTGAATACATATCAAACAAAGGATGAGGTTGTTAAAGCAATGGAGGGAACGTATCAGAAGGGAGGAGATCTGACTAATACTTTCAAAGCCATTGACAATGCAAGGTAAAACACATCGGTGTTGCTATAAAGAGCATAATTGAAAATTCTTATTGCAGATTGTTAATTTCCAAATCTACTACAGATGTAGCTTGTTCTAAGTCAGACATATTTATGACAGTATCTATACCTAATTCTATGCATTATAAATTGACATGTGATAAATCCAATGTTTTGTAACAGACAGTATGCCTTCTCACCTGAATCAGGAGGCCGTCCAACAGCCACAAAAGTAATGGTTGTTGTGACAGACGGTGAATCACACGATGGCTCCAACTTGAAAACAGTGATAGGTAAATGCAATGAAGACAATATAACCAGATTTGGCATTGCTGTAAGTAATACTATCATTATATATATTACTGCAGTTTTTGAAAGAACATTTTTTTGCATATGTATGAAGGTGCATTTTCTATATACAAGCTCTATATAATGTATGATTTGTTACACTGGTGAGACTGAAACTAGGTGAAATTGATCTTTATGAACTAGTGAAATTTAGTTTTCTTTAAATGGCTGATAAAGCAAAACCAATATTACCTGAGCAACTTCAGTGGTTTTCTTCTTTGCCTTGGTTTATATATTTTTCCTATCTGAATGGTCCCTTGTATAGGAATACAGTCTGATAAGCAATTCAGTAATATAAGTAAAGGTAATTGTTTTTTGTTTTTCGCTTTTTAACGTGTAGAAGAATATTCACTCCACTAATACAGAAGGAAATGGAGTAACACCATTGTTTCCTTCACTCTTCTTATTTTGTTCTTTTTTACCCAAGGTTTTGGGATACTTAATCAGGCATGAACTTGATACTAAAAACTTAATTAAAGAAATCAAAGGAATTGCTAGTCATCCAACAGACAAGTATTTCTTTAATGTGTCATCTGAGGCTGCACTACTGGAAGAAGCAGGAACACTTGGAGAGCGCATTTTTAGTATAGAAGGTAAAATACTTAATGTCTCTAAAAAAATAGATTAGATTCTCCCAGCTGATGGGCTAAGGATTTTATTTAGCTTCACCTTAGCATAATATTGTGAAAATATGGGACGGCTGGGGCTGCTCCCTGCTCCCCAGGAGGGCTCTGGGTCACATAGGTGTTCCCACAGCTACCCCACCCCTAATGAGCCTGAGCTTCAAGTTACTTTCTGCGGTTTGTGGGAAATTTCCCCTGCTGCTGAAAATGGGGGCTTGTCCATATGCATCCAAATGTATTTGGAGCTGTTACCACTGGAGAAGTACAGGTATGCTTGTCAGATTCACCTGTGTTTTTCTGTTAATGCTAAGCAACTGTGAATGTAAAAAGCAAATCAGAAGACTAGGTTACCGATTACAGAACTGAAAAGCTACAGTAATGCAGTCTGTGTGGCCTCTATCAGGCTCTATCCCTAGCATCACCCACAAGTCCTCTGTTTGGAGGAAGGTGCTGTAGGGGTGACCCGGAGGCACTTCGTTCCCCCCAAGAGCCAGTTTTTTTAAATCAAATTTAGATGATGCTTGAGAGACTTGTGACTTGCCCTCAGCCTAAAGAGCTTTTCATGGCTGCAGCTTTCCTGTGCTCAGGATGAAATTTTCCCCTCTCTTTCACCTCCACCTATTGATTGGAGGTGATCCACTTGATTACCAGACCCACGCTGCTAATCAAGCTGAGGGAATCGGATGAGCTCCCCCTCTTGGGTTTTTAGTAGTCCTGTTGAATTTGTGTTACCTGAGTCCCATCCATCTAGCTTAAGGAGTATTCTTGAATGTCATATTATTTTTTTAAACAATTACAACAGTTTTATAAGTCCTATATGATAATAAACATTCACTTGAAAGTTGTGAATATACAGTTATTAAAGCTGATAATTTCAGTGTATTATTAGTGCTTCATAGGAAACATAAAAAGAGATTAGCCACAGTGACAACACTGTTCAGGCACTTCTTCAAGCCATCTTTATCATCATCTTCTGCCATTTTTTGGAAGAGACTGATAGCATCATGGCTCCATCTTACCAATTTACCATTAAATCCTCTAAATATTCTACAGTTTATTAGCTCTTGGATTTCTGTTGTTTGTAAATGTTGGAAATGTTTTAGCAGAATTAATGGATTTGGAAAAAATAACATACAGTCCCTATATAGCTACGCTCAGAGGCAGCAATATTTGATCTCTTGTGTGGTTCTGTAGGGTTAACCACATGTGAATATTTATTTTACCAGGTACAGATCAAGGTGATACATTCCAAATGGAAATGTCACAGGTGGGCTTCAGTGCATATTACTCACAAAAAAAGGTATGTGAATTTAATTATTTAATGATACAAATAGATGTAATGACATAGACATGAATGCTTAGAAGTGCAACAAAATAAGACTAATAAAACACAATGACCATTTTTAACATTTTTTTTATTGGAAGCAGAATGTCAAATTAGTGTCTTTTTTTTTTATTTGAATACCATTACTTCTAATAGATGCTGTATATCCCCAAAAGGAAAAAAATATATATTGATATATGAAGCTGAGTAATAGTTTCTTTCATGTAGTGATTTTGAGATGTGTTAATGCAATTACTTCAACGATTTCTGAGTTCACGTAGCATGAGAAAGTCAGTTGCTCCAAGTTAGTATTTTGTAGTTGAATAGCTCAGAATTGAATCCATATTGTAAAGCTGGTATATTTCTAGGCGGTCACCAAGATGTAAATAAATCAAGTCTTAAAATAATTCATTTAATATTTATAAAATTTATAATATTTGTTTAAAGCATATTAGACTTAGAAATTAGAAAGAATAATAAATCAAATATATTTTTCTTTTTAATCAATTTTAAGATTATCTTGACCAAATAAATCCTCTTGGTAAAATTCAGGTGTCGTTCAAGCTGCTTTCAGCTGAAAACACAGGAAGGTTGTTTCTTTCTCATAGCCTTAAAGGTGAATTAAATAATTTTGTAAAAGTCTGCTGTATTTGCAAAAATTTAAGTTTTGACTTACTAAGAACTTGATGCTAGGAAATGGCAAAAATGAAGAAAGAGTCGGGGCTTTCTTCAGGAAAATTACGCATACTATTTTCACTGCAGCTTTCTATAACAGTATCTCAGTTCAGTGAAGAATTTTAATAATGTGCATAATATGAACTATGTTTTATGTGTGCAAGTCTAAGATTAAGTGTTTCTGAATTAAGTATTCTGTAGAATAAGCCATATTAATTTGGATTTTAGATTTAACTGTTCTCTTTGTTCTCATCTCCTTATAATACAAAATTTTATTCTTTAAGCATATCTTTTTCCATCTGGTTTTGTGTGCTGTCATTGGCATGGCTGTTGGCAAAAAGGGGGCGTTAGCTTTTTGTTACAGTTTTGTTTGTCAGATCCCCAGTCTTCTGAGGATCATGAGTGCATAAAAGCATAGACTTGGCAAGCCCAGCCCCAGCGTGGACAGGCTTAGGAAATTATCACAGTGTTTAAATAAACCCATTTTATCTTGTGTTGCAGTGCCCTGGGAGCTAGAGCAGTCGCTTATCCTCTTGTACTGGAGGGGTGATAGTCCCTCTTAATATGGCAGTAAAGTCCTGCCTGTAAGTGGTAACCGTAAGCAGCTCCAGTCAACTGCTTGCAGTCATTAGATTGTACATCACTGCCTTAAATACAATGATGTAGGAGATTACTTACGGTAACTTCAGCTTCACTCCCACTTTTTCTGAAATAGGTAGTTCTAAAATGTTGGTTTTTACTTTTTTAAAGGATGTTCTGCTGCTGGGTGCTGTTGGGGCCTATGACTGGAGTGGAACAGTAGTTCAGGAGTCCTCAGACAGAGTCACCACTTTTCCAAGCCATGTGTTCGAGAAAATTCTACAGGACAGAAATCATAGCTCATATCTAGGTAAGGGGCTGAAATACAAATCTTTATTAAGATACTAAAGAACTTGGGAAATTCTGCTTTTGTCAGACTCCTACTAAGATCTGATTTGAAAATATTAAAATAATTTTGCATGCAGAAAGATTTTATTTACTGGTCAACAGTTCATGGAGTGAAATCTTTATTGTGTTTTTAAAGTTCTACTCATATCAATGTGGTAAGGTGAAAAAAAATCAGACTTTGTCACAGAGACATAAGGAGTCATGGGATTTGAGAAGGCTGCTTAGTGTATCATACTGATCATTATGGGTACCTTCTGTTTTAATATTTGTAGGTACTTCCCCAATTAAATGTAGATGAGAAGTTGATTGAATTGCTGTCGTTTCATCTGTGCTCACTCTTTTCTTGGCCTTTTCTACTTCAGTTTATAGTTTTAGGAATATTGCTGCAGTTTAACAGAGGTCTTATTTATAACCCTCATATATTTTCTGACACATGTTTTTGTGACCCTATAAAGCCACTCAGTTTGTCTTCTCAGCTCATTGAAATGTTTTCTGTTTTGTTGTTGCTTGTTGAACTTCTCTTCTCCAATGATGTTGTGTCCCTAGAAAAACAGTGACTGAATGCAAATCTGAGTTAGACTGGTATATGTAATGACCAAGGCATAATCCTTTTAGACTGTACTCCTCACATTGTCCTGCAGCTAGCCAAGGACCTACATACTCTGCCTAACCGCTGGGATTTTGTAACTCAGTTTAAGCTATAGTCTTTATAAAGGATGATTTTTAGGTTTCTTCTGTTAAAATAAATTTGCTGTAATTAAACCACAGAAATGTAAAATAGGTAGTAATGCTATCTTTGTAGTGCTAATACATGTTTAAAATATTTGCAGATATTAAAAGATGTTTCCTGAAAGCAAATAATGTTAGAATAATGGGGATGAGGATTAAAATGTTCAAAGAAGTTCCATCAACCTAAGCCCTTCAGCTGACAAGCTATTAATATAGCCTGTTGTATTCAGCCTATACACTGGGCTGTGGTTTGGTGAGCTCTGAGAAAATCCGCTGCAAGCTTTGCAGAAGCTAGGTGTTCCTTCCCAGTTTGACGGCTGGCCCAAATGCTCATCTCACGTTTCTTTTTATTTCTTCATTCCAAGGGTACTCTTTGCACTCTTTCTCCAATCTACTTCATAAGCTTGACACTTTTGTGGTCTATGTTTTACTAAATAGGCTAAACTGTGCTATTCTGCAAACCTGCTTCAACTTGATCTGTGTGTCATTGTTTGCTCCAGAAGACTACTGCAAATTTTATGCATATGTGACACCTTGACTTCCCGTCTGGAAGCATCCTTCTCTGCAACTAGCATACCAGATTGACTCATCCTCCGTGCCTTTATGGACAACAAGCTGACAACTTGTAGTTAATGATCTCTCACACATGCTAAATGTTGCCTTCTCTCCCCAGGTTATTCTGTTGCTGTTCTCTCAACTCAGAGCTCCATCTATTTTGTTGCTGGTGCACCAAGATCTAACTACACTGGCAGAGTAGTGGTTTATGATGTTGACAGCGATGGTAATATCACAATTGTGCAGTCCCAGAGAGGCGAGCAGGCACGTATAATTTGGTCATGAATGCAGATTTTGTAGGCATCTGTTTTTATTGACACAGCAGTAAATTACAATGAATTTATTCTGAAAATTCCTCTTGCTTGCAATGCATTTAGAATCCACTTGAACTTTTCCCTGCCACTAGACTATTTCAGTGAAGTTAACTTAGTTCTTAAACAGTATTTTAGAAAGTCATCCAATTAGTGGTAAAAGATAATATACAAAGCTACTTAATGTATCATTCTGTCAACACTTCTAATTGTGAGCAACTCAGTGAGCTCCACACTGCCTGAGAAGTTGTGAAGTAGATGACATCAAAAGAGATTTGGATGCTTATTCTCTTTTTCTCCATTTCGAAAAGAGCAGTGAGTTTAGATGGTTTTGGTTTTGTTTGTTTGTAAGACAAATCTGAAAGTAAATCAGAGGTTGGGTAGTTTCGTGCGAAGTTTGATATAAAAAAATTGTACCTCCCATAGCTTAGTCTCTGTTTGGATTCTTATTGCCAAGTGGTAAAGCCATAGCAGCAGCTACTGGACAGAAACAGTGGACATGTGATAAGTATATGATTCCTCAAACACCAGAGTATGTTATACAGTAATTTAATTCCAATGGGAAGTTTCATTCCTTAGTCTGGGACTATTTCTGGGTGTAAGTTTTCTGAGTCAGGTGCTAAAACATTATGCTTTACAAAATCAACATACAAACACAACTGTCTTACTACTGATTTCAGATTGGCTCCTACTTCGGCAGTGTGGTGTGTTCAGTGGACATTAATAGGGATTCTGTGACAGATGTGCTGCTTGTGGGTGCACCAATGTTTATGAATGACCTGAAGAAAGAGGAAGGCAGAGTATACATGTTTTCCATCACAAAGGTAAGAATGGCACTGTAGCAAAGCTGGAATCAGCTTCCTGCCTCTCCATCCATGATAAGTGCTGATATTTTCATTTGCAGCTGGAGGGATTTACTGTTACTTCCTGGACTACAGTTTTACCAAAGAAAGAGCAGTCCAAACAGCAAGAGTACTTAGTGGCAGTGTCTGTTCTGTTAAAACAGAGGGTGATCAGAAGAGCAGTCCCTGTCCCCACAGCCAAGTGGTGCAGCAGACACTCAAGCCGTCATTGCTTAGGGCTAGCTTCTTTCAGAGCAGGCTGGCCATGTGCATGCTAAAAAGCCTTTGGCCCTGGATCTTTTCAGAGCCTCTAAGTCACTATTTAGTGTATCTTTTAAAAAGTGTTAGAAATATTGTGAGCGGTGTTTTTGTAATGAGAAACGGAGCATGTGCTTTTCCCCAGGGTGTGGCATAAAGGCAGGGGTAAATGGTGCCAAGCCTGCCTGGATAGAGGACTGTGGATGGAGCCCTTGCCAGTGCAATCTCACCCATTCTGCTTTTCAGGAGAAGCTGCAGACTTTCTCCAGAGCTGCTTGTGCATGTAATATGGGAGTAAGCCAGCTGGAACAGGCAAAAGTGGAGTCAATAAGCAAGTTAGTAGCTAAGCACTATTAATGACCAGGGGCCTGCTGCTCTAGGTGGCTCCCTGGTCCTGGTTTTAGGCACTGTATACAAATACAACAGAAGGTGGACCATTTCTCTGAAAAAATTAGCTCAAGGCTTTTGCTAATTAATAGTTTGCCATTTGATTTTGGCAAACCTGTTCAATACCTAACAGCATTCCCAAAACAGTTCTAATAAATGCTCTTCTGCAAGTTTTCTGCATTGTTTCGTAGACTTTCACAGTGGATGGTTGCTATTATTCATGTTGTCCCATTTGTTCGGTGAAGCTATCTTATTTGTCTGGTGCTTGTCTGACTTTTTTATTCAGACCTGTAGTAGGTGTTTTCACAGTATCTGTATTAACAGTCCTGAAGCATCTGGCACTTTTGATCAGTCTGTCAATCAATTATTGGATGTCTGGATATGCAAAGTCATTTAATACCTGCCATCCATCAGAGAAAAAAGAACATGGCCTTTTACTAGGTAAATTGCAATCAAATAAATAGAAAGGAAGGACCATCCTCCTCAGTGGCAGCTCATAGTCAGATCATCCTGCAGCAACAGGAAACTGTACCCTAAGCCAATTTCAAGGTAGATGGAGGTGCTGGAGGTGGTACTGCTGGCAGCTGGCATTGGTCTTTGTGGCTGTAAAATTAGACATGAAATACAGAAAAAAAGAAAAATTAAAGAATGTTTTTCATGTTTTGAAAACTGAATAAATTGGCAGACTATCCTTACAACACTTAGTCTTTGTCAAATGTTAGGTTAAAATTAAGAATAATGAAAGAATTATTTAAATTTTTTTAAAGAACCTGGATTTGTGCAACTTGCACATGTTGCACAAATAATACTTTTCTAGTCATTTTTGATAAATAACTTGGCAGTATTTCTAAAATTTTAAGCGCAGCATGATAACTGAGGTTAACAATGAGAACGATATTTGCCAGATAATTGAATTTAAGCTAGTGTAAATGTGATTATTTAACTATAAATATCTCCAATCTTTCTTTCTTCATTGGCACTGCAGAGGTCAGGAGTTTAGCATTTGGACACATGTTTTTTGCATTAGTTGAGTTAGGAAATTCCATTTCTGTTTCAAAGAAATATGTCCAGTTACATAATTTCCATTCCCTCTGCATAAAAAACGGTAATCCAAACTGGAAACTGTATTTTTCAACATATTGTGAAACTTTCAGAACAGTCAGATGAGGACAGTGAGAGCATTTAAGCTTCATACATATGGTTATATTTGCTGTTAGTGCTTTGCATAGCATGCTTTAATTTTGCTGTGTAGTGCTTGCCAAGACTCTGAGACATAATGCAAACTGAATGGGCAATATAATGGGGAAGGAATTCAGGGCTGAGCAGTCCAAGGGGAGTATGGGAAAACAAAAACAAAAAAAAACAATACGCATAGATACTGCTCCTATGTTTGATGTGGTGCAATTAGAGCTGTGTTTTTGCTTTTTCTCCTTTTTCCTTTTTTAAAGGGAATTTTGGATCAACAAGAACTCTTGGAAGGTCCACAGGGGTCAGAAAATGCTCGCTTTGGATCAGCAATCGCAACGCTTGCAGACATTGATTTGGATGGCTTTAATGATGTTGTAATAGGTGCACCACTGGAAAACCAAAACTCTGGAGCAATTTACATTTACAATGGATTTCAAAAGACTATGCGTACCAAACATTCTCAGGTAATTAATTTCATTGTATAATGCTGTACTCAGTGCCTTTAGATCTGCTAGAGCAAACCAGGATTCTCTTTTAATTGGCTACTGTTTCATTGTTTTAAAGGAGTCCTGTTATTCTCATGGCTTATTTCAAGTTTTGTGCCCCTCCTTACTTCAGCTGTCAGCACGCCCTGATTGTGGTGCTTATAACTGAAGCATATAGAGAAAAAGGACTTGCAAGATGCTCAATCTGAGCCTCTTACAATTTTTTGTACCTGTGTATGAAGTCAGCTAATTTCCTATACATTTTTTGACACCCATTATTCAGGCTTTTAGGGTTGATGTACAGCAATCAAGATTAGAGAAATCCCAGCTCTATAAATTATAAATATGTGGTATTAAAGGAAAAGACTTTCAAGGGTCTTTGCATATCTTATATAATGCTAATATAATGGTAATTTTAATGTCACTTTCCATGCTGACTTTCTGGTTGTAGAAGGTACTTGTTAGAAGTCCTGTTAAGCTTCCTATACTCTGAGTTGCTCAATGTGAGATGGAAAAAGTTTCCAGTAAGTACTAGAGCAGTCAGTTAGTTGATCTACACCCAAGACAGAAAAATCTAGTTCATTGTCTGCTCCAACAGGGGAGGAAAAAGTGCTTTAAAAGCTTCTGAGAAAAGATCCCCGAAGGCATTTTGTTTAAACAATACATTGCATATAGAGGGAATATCGGTGAAAATCCATTGCGTAGGCTGCTTAAGCACAGCACAGATTTAAGCACACTTGTGGCAAACTCAGTAACCAAACTCTTTTTCACAGAAAATTCTAGGATCAAATTCTGCTTTTGGACAACGGCTCCAATTCTTTGGAAGATCAGTAGATGGCCATAGAGACTTAAATGACGATGACATTACTGATGTATCGGTTGGTGCTGATGGAAATGTGGTTCTGCTATGGTTGGTAAACTCTTTTAGAAAGGAAGTACTTAATGATTCAGATGCAAGCTGAGCATTTAGTTAAATAAACAGCAAAACAAACAAACGAAAAAGCTCTTTCATTCTCTGTGTTCAGAGCTAACACACTGCCTCATTGCTGCTATTGTAGCTAGCTGAAAAACAGCATTAGACTAAACCTTTTTTAAGCATGTATCAACAAACCATCAAAAGCCAAGGCAGCGTGCAAGGCAGAGCCAGGGTACTTGGAGGGGCCCACTGGGAGGGACCTGGTCAGGGATGGAGAGGGCCAGGAGACAGCCCTGCCTGCTGCTGCCCTGCAGGCATGTGGTCCAGAGGGAAGGAGCAGCAGCAGGGAGCGGAAGTTGCTTGAGAGTATTTGTAACAGCGACTTCAGTAGCTGCAGTATAATTTTGATAGCTGAGCCTGAGACAGATAAAACCACTTCCCACACAACCTGTGTGACCTTTACTGGCTGGTAGGCTGATCTGGGGGAGAGTTGTCCTGCAGAGTAAGGAAAGAGAGCAGTGAAAGAGAGTTGGCACCTATTTCTGGCAAGAAACCCATCTTTTCTGGCATGTGGCCTTTGGCAGAGCAATCTGAGTACTTTCACAAAAATAAAGAAGTAAGGCTCACAGAACCCAAATCTTCTGCCTCCCTAAGTACTGTGTATTTTCCACTGCTTCCTTGAGGGGCTAAATTAAAATGCAGCTTGCTTTCCTATCTGTCGCCTGTCTTCTTGCCTGAGGCCCCCCATTGTAAGAAGAAAAACATCACTGAATTGCTACTTACTTCATAATGCAACAAGATTATTAGAAATGAATGGTCACTTGGATCTTTGACCCACAGTATAACTGCTGCTGGTGCTAGTGGGAGTTGCGTTAAAGAAAATTATGCTCCTTGGAGTACCCACATTTATTTAGATTTGATTAATGAAGATGCTTATTTTTCTTTCACACTGGCATTTGGTCTGATTAACAAGTTTAACTTTTGATTAAAGTGTTTGTTTTCACATGCAGGGTTCCTTTGAAACTGTTCTTCAAAATCTTGATTAATTACATGAAAGTTGTTTTTCCGAAAAATAAGAGTATTCATTAAAATGAAGAATTATCCTTCTTTTCCTTCCCAGAGCTCAGTAGCTTCCCTAAAGGAGCAGAAGATTACTTATTGGGAAAATAGGACAAAGGCTTTGTTCTCTGTTATCTTAAGGGAAGGATTAGAGCATTAGGATAAAGACATTGATTATCCTTTAATTTTACATGATAAATTATTTATTGTCATTACTGAAAGCTACTGTATCAACAAATCCACTTATATGCAAAGAAAAATAATTTTTCTAGTGCCATTAAAAATGTTTACATTGGCAACAAGAAAATAAATGTTACATTTACAGACTGTAATAGACAACATCTTCTATGTTACCCAGTGCTCTTGAAAATTACATGTAACCTTTTAAAAATATATTTCAGGTCACAAAGCATTGCAAATGTGTCCATAATTGCCTCATTTAAACCTGAGAAAATCAGTCTGCTGAACAAGAACACAGAAATAACTGTCAAAATATGTTTTCAGGCTACATTTAGACCTGCTAAGAGAAATAATCAAGTGGGTAAGAGTATTTTAATGACTTGTCTTATATTAATTTCTTCATTATTCAAAGAAGTCAAATAAAGTCCATTATTGAAATGAGAAGTGGAAATTCTAAAGATATATTAGATTGAATGTCAAGAAAGGCAAAATCATAAAACTTAAGTGCTTGAGAAAGTGTTTTTAAGACCTACTTTCATCACTGGCTCTATACTCTTTGAAAAGTGAGGAATTAACAGTGTAAAGGAGAGTTGTATCCTTGCTGTTCATCAAACCCTAGAAAATGTCATTATTGAGAAGCTGATTTTTTTCAACCTGCTGTTTTCAACAGCAGAATGCAGACTTTTCTTCTCCAGAAAAAAAAAAAAATTCCATAGGCTCAGTGGGGATGTCAGTAGGGAGAAAGTCATCTTTTCAGAGGGTGGGAGAGCACCAAATATTTCTGAGACCAGCCTTGGCCTCTCATGAAGCTGTTTAGTTAAACAAACATGTCATGGATAACACCAGTTGAACTGCTTCAGTGCTATGTATAGTGCCTTTAGGAGCTCATGATTGTGAGCTATAAAATAACGGTGAACTTCCAAAGAGTATTAGTCATAATATGAAGAGAAGAAAACAGAAATTATTATGTGATTGAAGAGAAGAT